TGCATGCTCAGCATGCACAAGGCCCTGGACACAAAATCTACTCAGAAGGCTGAGATCTGAGGATCGCAGTTCAAAGTCAGCCCAGGCAGGAAAGTCTGTGAGACTCTTATCTCCAATAAAACACCAGAAAATTAGAAGTGGTGCTGTGGCTCAAGTGGTAGAGCACCAGCCTTGAGCTGAAGAGCTGAGGGACAGTGCCCAGGCCCAGAGTTCAAGCCCCAGGACTGGCAAAACAGAGTGGGGGAAAGGAGGGGAAGAGAAAGAGGGGGGAACTGTGCTAACAAATTCAGAGAAAATGGATCATCTGAAGAGTTGAGGACGTGACTCAGTGGTACTAACACACACCAAGTCCTGGGTTCCACCCTCAGCAGGGTGGGGGTGGGGGTAGGAGAAGAGAAGAGAGGGAGGAGGAGGAGGACTGGGAGGAGGAGGAGGAGGACTGGGAAGAGGAGGAGGAGGAGGACTGGGAGGAAGAGGAGGAGGAGGAGGAGGAGGAGGACTGGGAGGAGGACTGGGAAGAGGAGGAGGACTGGGAGGAGGAGGGAGGAGGAGGGGGGGGAGGAGGAGGAGGAGGAGGAGGAGGAGGTGGTGGTGGCTGAGCCATTCTCCCATCCACATCCAAATCCCACAGCGAGGCTCACGTGGCCTCTCAGGGTAGAGCAGGTGAGACTGAACGTGGTGTCTACGAAGCGAGGTCACCAGATGGCCTGGTGTCTCAATGCCATCGTTGCAGGTCCCCAGGAGGGCGGCAGGACAGGGGACGGGCAGTGGGGACAGAGAGGCCCTGGGCAGCCCTGGCCCTGGAAGATGGTGGCGGGAGCAGGAGCCAAAGAGGGCCAGCAGGGGGACCACAGAGGGGTGGATTTGCACTCAGAGCCCCGGGGAGGAGCCAGCCCAGCCCACATCTTGATTCCAGGACTTCTGTCTGACCTCCAGGACGGCAAGGCAATCAACAAGCCTTGTGTAAGCCTGCAAGTCCATGGTCACTCACTAGCGTGGCCTGAGTGACCTTGGACAAGGGCCTCTGTTGCCTGGTTTGCCATCTGAGCAACTGTGCCGGGACGCAGTATAGAGACTCAAACAAGCGACAAACACACAGAGCCCGGGAAGGTCCCATTCAGGTGAGTCCTGGGCCTCTCCCCGGGTCTTGGCCTCTGATTCCAGCCCACTCACCCCGGCTCTCCCTCCATCCCCCCTCCCATACACAAATGCTGGGGGATCTCCTGTGTATCCTGCCTACAAAACTCAACTTGTCCCTGGACAGCAGAGGGCCAGCGGGTGTCAGCTGCATGGCCAGGGTCCAGGAAGGGAGCCCATGGGCATCTGCTCAACACTGCTGAGCTGTAAACTCAGAGAATCAAGTCGGTGACTCTTATATGATGCATTTTTACCATAAGAGAAAGGAAATTGAAGCCAGGTGCCAGTGACTCACGCCTGTTATCCTAGCTACTCAGGAGACTGAGATCTGAGGATCACGGTTCAAAGCCAGCCCAGGCAGGAAAGTCCCTGAGACTCTTTTCTCCAATGAACGACCAGAAAACCGGAAGTTGTACTGTGGCTCAAGTGGTAGAGCGCTGGCCTTGAGCTGAAGAGCTTAGGGACAGTGCCCAGGCCCAGAGTTTAAAGCCCCACGACAGACAAAAAAATATAATAATAATAACAACAATAATAATAAATGACCCATAAAATGCTCCAGAATAACAAGTTACCAGAATGGGTCACCAGGGGGCGCTCTGCACCCGCACCCATTTCATTTCCCACCCCAGCCCCAAGCTGTGATTTCTAGAGGAGAAAGGCTCAGGGTCCTGGGGCCACACGGCCTCCTCCCTCCTCCTTGCCACCCCACCCCATGCTTCCTCCAGCCCTCAGCCCCTTCTTTCTCTGGATTCCTTCCCCTATGGCCCCAGCTGAGGCAGGAGGTCCAGTGCCTCTAGGCTGCAGGTTGATGAAGGGCAAAGTAGCCCGTGACAGAGGAGGCGAGCAAGGCCCAGGAAGGTGTGGGACCCCCAGCAGGAAGAGACAGGGCTGCCCCATCCCGTCCAGGTCAGCCAGAGCTGGGCTTCCAGGCCTGGGCCTCCCTGGCCTCGGTTTCTCAGCTGTCAAATGGGGATAATGGCTGAAGCAGCCCAGGTTGAGTTGGAACTCAGGAGTTCTTCCTCCCCCTCGGGAGAGCTGGGATTACAGGTGTGTGCAACCACCCCATACCCAGCTTCCATAAACGGGTTCAGACTGAATGAACCAGTGCATGGCCCCCACACAGGCCCTGAGGGCTGAGTGCCGCCGCCCACTCAGCGCTCTCGGTTTCAATTCCTCAAATCGAGGGAAGAAAAGAAAAAAGAAGAAAGAAATCCAGACCAGGCCTACGACATCCGTTTCTGGGGGCACAGCCTGTGCACGGGACAGTTTTAATACTCCCCAGGGAGTCTGGCGGGGAGTGAACGTCACCCAGAGCCACAGCCAGGAGTCTTTCCGGCCACATGGCCACATCAGGTGGACTTCCTCTCCTTCCTGCCCCTTGCCTGTGCTAGTGGGGTCCCAAAAATCGCCCCGGGGCCCAACCTCTGATCCACCTCTGACCCCTCCTTGGACCCTGTGTCTGGCCCGTCGGAGTGGCTGGCACCACGTGGATAAGGCAGATCAAGGAACACGGACATGGGGGACAGATCACGGAAGGCTTCCTGGTAGAGGTGACCGTGGTCGGGCTGTGACAGCCTGAGGCAGGAAGTCCAGAGCCCTGGGTTCCTCTGTGTATTTCTGGTCATTGGTAAGAGGGGTGGCACCTCTGTGTCCCCCAGAAAGCATTGGGGAGCCTGGCTACAGTCGCACCGCTGGGCGCCCCTGTGTGAGTCCCCAGGCTGGCCCGGCCCTGCCCCAGCCCGGCCCGGCCCGGCCTCTCCCTCCAGTCTGCAGCCCGAGCTGGGACAGCCCATCTAGCTGGCCTGGAGGACTGAGGAGGACATGGGGGGGGGGGGGTGCTGGAGAGGCGCCTGGAGCCAGGTCACCCCAGCTCCTGGGGTGTCCAGGGGCGTGTGGGCCGAGCTGGACAGGCCCTGCGAGTGTGACCCCGGTGTGTGTCCAGATGGACAGCGCACCTTTCATCTTCCCCAATCTAAACACGCGCAGGCCGCGGGTGTGTGGTGTGTGTGTGAGTGTGTGAGGGGTGTGTGTGACTGTGTGGTGTGTGTGTGTGTGTGTGTGGTGTGTGTGTGTGTGTGTGTGGTGTGTGTGTGTGTGTGTGGTGTGTGAGTGTGTGTGGTGTGTGTGTGGTGTGAGTGTGTGGTGTGTGTGTGTGTGGTGTGTGTGTGGTGTGTGTGGTGTGTGTGTGAGTGTGTGTGGTGTGTGTGAGTGTGTGTGAGAGGTGTACACACACCTCTCCTCAGCTGCACACAGCTGGTGGAGAAGGGGGCCCGCTGCCCCCCACTCCCCTCCGCCCGCCGCCGCTGACTCTGGCGAGGGGGCACCTGTTGATCTCAGGCAGCTGCGGCCGCCCCTCCCTGGAGGCGGGGCCTCTCCGACCCCCCACCCGAGGGGCCGGGGTTGAGGGGGCCCGCGTGGGGGGTGAGGGGGCCCGCGTGGGGGGTGAGGGGGCCCGCGTGGGGGTGAGGGGGCCCGCGTGGGGGTGAGGGGGCCCGCGTGGGGGGTGAGGGGGCCCGCGTGGGGGGTGAGGGGGCCCGCGTGGCTGCGGGGGGGGGGCCCGCGTGGGGGGGTGAGGGGGCCCGCGTGGGGGTGAGGGGGCCCGCGTGGGGGTGAGGGGGCCCGCGTGGCTGCGGGGGGGGGGGGGGCAGAGCCCGGGGCAGGGCAGGGCACTGCCGGGGTTCCGCGAGGCCACCCCCTCCCCCCTCCCTCCCTCCCCCTCCCTCCCCCTCCCTCCCCCCTCCCCCTTCCTCCCCCTCCCCCTCTCTCTCCCTCCCTCCCCCTCCCCCTCCCCCGCGGCTTCGCCCGCCCCCCCCCCCGCAGGGATCGCGGGCCGGCCCAGCCCCCAGCCGGCTCCGGACGCCCCGCAGCGTGTGCTGAGCTCCCTCGGTGCGGACACGCCCGGGCCGCGCGGCGATGGGTGGGGTCCGGGCCGGGCCCCGACCCCCGGCCCCCGGGTGCCCGGCGCCCCGGAGCCCGGCGCGGGGCGGCGGGCGGGCCCGGCGGGGGCTCGGGGCGCCCGGCGCGGTCTCCGCCCCTTCCTCCGCCCCCGCCCCGCCCCCGCCGGGATCCCGGCGCCGCGTCGCCGCCCGCGGCTCCCGCGTCCGTCCGTCGTCGGTCGGTCTGTCGGTCCGCCGGCCGCTGAGTCGCGCCTCCGGGGCCTTGGGAGGCAGAGGGCTCCCCCGCTTCTTCTCTCCCGGGTCCCCCCGACCCCCGATCTCCGCGGGGACCCGGAGCTGCGGGGCGGAGACCGAGCCGGGAAGGGCCGCGCCCGAGCCAGGCGGTGAGCGCGGCGCGGGGTCCCCGGCGGCGCCCCGCGGGGCCGAGGGCGGGGTGGGGGCGGCCGGGCCGGGCGGCGACCCCCGAGGGGCGCGGGGGCCGCGCGGGCCCGGCGGGCGCGGGCCGGGATCGCGGCGGGGGGCGGCGAGCCGGGGCTGGGGGGGGCTGCGGGCCGCGAGACTCGGGAACCCGCGCCCCGGCCCGACCCCCGCCCGCCGCGCAGGGCCCGCGCGCCCCCTGAAGGCCTCTCCCCCTCCCGCAGGTCGCGCCGGACGCGCGGGCCGCGCCCCCGGCCCCCGCCCCTTTCCCGGGCGCCCCGCCATCGCCCAGGCCGCCCAGCCCGTCGTGGAGAGGGGACGCGGGGGTGCGCGGGATCCGGGGCGCCGCGGGGAGGCCGGGCCGGGCCGCGGGGCCCCGGGACGGAGCCGGGCCCTGGGCGGGGGTTGTGGGGGGAGCGCCGGGCGGGGGCGGCCGCTGACCCAGCTCGGGGGGCCGCCCCGAGCCTGAGGCCCCCGGCCTGCGCCCCGCGCCGCGCGCCCGCCCGGGGCCCCCCGCGCGCGCGCCGCGCCCCCGCCGCCGCCGCCATGGCTCGGGCCGCGCCGGGCGCCGTGGCCGGCGGAGGGCTGGGCTTCCCCCCGCAGAACGTGGCCCGGGTGGTCGTGTGGGAGTGGCTGAACGAGCACGGCCGCTGGCGGCCCTACACGGCCACCGTGAGCCACCACATCGAGAGCGCGCTCAAGGAGGACGCGCGCGGCTCCGTGGTGCTGGGCCAGGTGGACGCGCAGCTCGTGCCCTACATCATCGACCTGCAGTCCATGCACCAGTTCCGGCAGGACACGGGTGAGCGCCCCCCCTCCCCCCGGGACCCCCCGCCCCCCGGGCCAGGCCTGGAGGCCGCACCCCCTCACCCTGCTCACCTGTACCAGGGGCACACCCACAGGCGAAAGAGACAGCTGAGCAGTCACCAAAGATGGTGTGTGTGTGAGTGTGAGTGCGTGTGACTGGACTCAGGACCAGGCGCCGCCCCTGTGCCCCCCCCCCCCCCCACACAAGGCTGGTGCTCTACCACTTGAGCCAGAGCTCCACGTCCAGCTTCTTGCTGGTCACGGGGAGATGAGACTCCACGACTTTCCTTCCCCCTGCTCCAGGGTTGGCTTTGGATTGGCATCCTCATACCTCGCCAGGATGGCCGGCGTGAGCCCCCAGGCCCAGCTCTGTGGGTCTTTTTTCTCTCTCCCCTTCCCCAGACCCCGGGCAGTGGGAGTGGCTACTGTGTTGGCAGCTGTAGGTCAGGGTGGCAGGCCGAGACACGGGGTCCCTCCCCCGGGGACCCTGAGAGATTTAAAATGCAGAGCTGGGGTTGGAAGCCAGGCAGTTGGGTTCTGTGGCCTGGCGGTGGCGGGGACTGGTTGTGGGGCGGGGGGGATGTGGCATTGGTGGCCGGCCGGCGGAGTGGGGCATCCGGAGAGCCACAGAGGGCTGTGGGAGTCAGAGGTGGAGGCGTCGGTTGAGGGGGGCATGCATGGCGGCCCTGGTGATGTTGGAGCCGGTGGCGTTGGCGGCTGATTCGGTGGCGGGGCGGGGTGTGTGGAGCAGTGATGGCATGGTATTGGTAATGAAGTGACAGGTGGCTGGCGATGGGGACCCATGGCCCCTGTCCTGGGGCCTGTCCCCCAGCGGGAAGCTTCTGGTGTCTTTGTCCCAGCTCCCCCCGTGCGTCCGGGCTGCGCTGCGGCCTGAGCCGGCCGTTCTGTGGCCCCGACCGTGGGCTCAGGGCTGCCCCCCCCCTCTGGCCACACGTGGCTGCGTAGGCCCTGCTCTGTTGTAGTGACATCGCCCCACAGGCCCCACAGCCGCAGGCTAGCCATGCGTGGCGGCCGTGGACGGGAGACCCGCCATTCCTGCAGGCCTCCAGGCCCGGAGCGGAGCTCAGCGCGGTCCAAGAATACAGCGGCTCCAAGAATACATGGCTCCATTTCATACCTGTGTCCCCACGGCCCCCGGCGCTGGCTGAGGTCGAGTCGCGGTGATCATTTGCTTATTCCATCCTGTCATCATTGGCCGCCTGTGTGTCAGACGGTGCTATGCTGGGCAGACCTTAGTAGGAGGCCTACCGTGAGAAAGTGAACAGGGAATCATGCGGATCGTCCATTGCAGGTCGGCAAGCATAGGACAAACAGGAGAAGCTTGGGGGGAGGCTGGCATGAAGAAGTGATGTTTGAGAGGCCAGTGTGTGGGGCAGAAGGAAACAGCTAGTGCAAAGGTCCTGGGGTCGGAAGGAACAGCTTCCATTCAAGTGCATTGTGTTTGGCTTGCAGTGAACAGGGAAGGTGGGGCAAGACGAAATTGGAGCAAGGAGCGGGTGTGCGGAGCGGGCTAGCAAACCCGGCTAGCCGTGGGATAGGGCTCTGAGCGTGATCCTGGGAGGAGAGAGGTCACATTGTCCAGTCTCGTGCCCGCTGTCTCACAGGGAGGCCAAGAGCCTCGCAGGGAATGGGAAGCGGCGGCCGGCCCTGCCTTGTGCTGCCTTGGGTCTTGGATGGTGGGGGGCAGGGGCCGGGGCCTGGCTGGGTGACCGGTGCTCTGTGGTCAGAGCTGGTGCTAGCGGAAGTTGTGCGGCCTTCACTTGGGTCGGGAAGCTGCAAAGTGGAGCCAGCCCCGCCCGAGGAACCTTGGATCCCTGTCCCTCTCAGTAGCACCCCTTCTACGCTCGGCCCTCAGGGGGTCCCCCAGAGGTTCAGACTCATCACTTCCCCCTGCCTTCCAGAACTCCAAGCCAAGGCCCACGCCAAGCCTGTTAGCCAGAAGTAGGGAAAACACTGATCTGCCCGCAGACCCTGGGAATCCGCCAGGACCCCTGGCGATGGGGGATGGGGGGCGGGTAAAAGACCCGTGGGGCTGGCTGGGACCCGGGTCCCGAGGGGAGGGCAGCTGGAGGACACTCCAGGAGCCAAGCAGGGGAGGGGAGAGGAGGTCTCCCTCCCGCTGGGGCCAGGGGGAGCAGTCTGAAGGCGCCTGGCTCCCAGCAGCCCTGGGCCTCAGTTTCCAGGTCAGTGAAATGGGCCCGGGCGTCGCCCGGCTGTGGGGGTGCTGGACTGCAAGCACCAGCTGTTTGCCTGGCATCTGTGCCCGTGGTGGATGCAAGAGACAAACATGCCAAGCCGGCCCAGGCACAGACCATCACACGTGTAATCTCAGCTCCTGGAGCAGGGCTGGGGGCAGGGTGGGGCCAAAAGCACAGCGTCTGCCCTGAGTTCAAATCAGATCCTCTCTGTTGGGGGGGGGGTGGGGAACAGGAGGGAAAGAGAGGAGAGAGAGAGAGAGAGAGAGGTCCAACACCTTGGAAATGTGTTCTGCACGCAGTTGTGCTACCCAGACGTGTCGAATCTGTGCTGAAATGCACAAAGTTTTGGTCTCCATTTGCTAATGATAAAATTAGCTAAGTTTCCTCAGCCTGGGGGGGGCAGGGCGGGGGGAGGCAGCGGCGTGGCCTGGTTTTGTGGGTGCCCAGATCTGGGAGCTGGCTGGCTTTTCTGAAGGGGGCAGGGGGCGGGTCTTCTCCCTCAGGTCCCGTGAGACCCACGAGGGTTGGGGACCATGCCTTGACCTCAAGGGGGCGGGAGCAGGGGGGGGGGGCAGGCGGGCCCGAGGCTGGGAGCTCACGTTTTCACAGCTGCTTTTTCTGGACGGTTTCTAACTGCCGGAGCAGTGCGGGGTTCCTGAGCTGCACAGAAACAAGTGTTTGGTTTGGGGTGGGGGGAGGGGGGGTGTCCGGTGTAGTCGCGGTTCCCGGCCCCCTGTTCTCGTGTCTCATGATCCTGCCCTGGGCGTGGGTGGCTGGCTTAGGGCACAGGTAATGGCTGGGCTCAGCCTGCCCTAGTTGCCATCCACCCCCTCCCCAAGGTAACTCAGGGCCTGTGCAGCCCCGTTCCCCACCCCTGGGGGGAGGGGGTGTCTGAGGAGAGGATCAAGGGGGAACCAGCAGGGAGGATACACAGCCCACACCAAGGAAAGTACTTCCAGAACAGACACAGGTGGAGGGATGGACAGAGGCCCAGAGAGAGTGCGTGACTCACCCAAGGTCACACAGCCTAGCTAGCTGTCCTCCACTGAAACCAGGCTTCCAAAAACAGATCTCAAGGATAGGAAACAAGGCGATGTTCCTGCTGGGGCTGAGATCTTTCCTCCTGCGTCTCTGGAGAGCTCTGCTGGGGCCGTTGTCGGATGGGATCCAAGGCAGGGACCTTCACCATTACCCCAGAGGTCCCCAGGCCCTGGATCCCGGGTTACAGGGCCCTGGGGAGACCCCGGGCTGGGCCTGACTTCAAGGTCAGGAAGGGACATCTTGGGGACCAGCTGTGGGTCCCCGTCACGAGCCTGTATTTCTCTTTCCTCCTCTGTGGACCTATTTTTCTTGTGTGGGGGGCGGGGTAGTACTAAGGTCTGAACTGAGGGCCTCAGACTTACTTAGCTGGTGCTCTACCACTCGAGCCACGCCTCCAGCCTAGCGTTTAGCTGGTTATTTTGGAGATAGAGTCTCCAGGACTTTTCTGCCTGGATTGGCTTTGATTCAAAATCCTCCCCATCTCAACCTGCGGAGTCGGTAGGATTGCAGGTGTGAGGCACCACGCCCGGCAGTAGACTGACCTGGCTGGCTTCCTGCTATTCAGACACCAGTCCACCATCATTTCTATGTCGCCATTGGTGGCTGTCCAATCCTGGGCCTGACTCGGGCGCACAAAGCCAACAACACAACCCAGCCCCTTGCTGTCTAGGTGACCCTGCGCACACCACTTAACCTCTCTGGGCCTCAGTAAAATGAAAACTAAATACGGTTCCTACCTGAGCAGGTGGCCAAGAGGGCTACATGAGATCCTCACACGGGAAAAACACAAGAACAATCTTTGTGGGGGTCGGCTCATGTGGAGAAAACATCTGAATTCTTCAGTGGAGGGGTCGGGGACTAGCAGGAGGTCTTCCTGTGGGAGGAGGGCTGGCTGCAGGTGTCAGCGGAGAGCTCAGGCCCTGGGGACAGAGGGACAGGGGTCCCCTGGGACCCACAGACCTGGAAGGCGGGGCTGCCAGCTGGTGCCCTTTAGTGGCCTGGTCCTGAGGGACCCAGAGCTACAGGGCAGGCGCAGCCTCATTAATTACAGCCTCAGGGGGCCGGTGATGGAGTGGGGGGAGGGGAGGGCTGGAAGGGGGGCGCAGGGGGGCAGGGCCCGCTAATCCCCATCGCTGTCACCCCCGGCTCAGGGCACGGACCCCTGCCCCAGCTGGGAGCAGGTGGGCTGCGGTGCAGGCCGGGTCCGCCAGCTCTGAGTACCATGGACAGCGCCCCGAGCCCCGCCTGTGGGGTTCAGATCCAGGTCTCTCCTGCTCTGCCCACCCCCCTCGAGGCCTGTGCAGTCTAACCTAAGGAGGAGGAAGGTGCTGGAAGCTGGGATGGCTCTGAGAGGGGCTGTGGACAGAGGGGTGATGTGGGGGGATGTGGGGCTGAGGGGAGGGGGCGAAGAGGGAGGGGCACTTGAGATGGCAGAGCTGTGATTGGTATGATCCCCATGCATAGCCGCTCAGGTAGAAGGCCAGGGGTCCCCAGCCATTCCCTGGGGTACAGGGGCCCCCGATTCTGCCCCAGCCTCTCTCCTCTCCACGGCCTGAGGCGGTGGACATGCATGGCTGTTTCCCCCTCCCCTCCTATTGACCCCACCCGGCCAGGGCCCTTGGCCTGGACACAGCCCCAGACCTAGAATCACCACCTCTAGATTGGGCTGGTGAGCCCAGGGAGGGGGGGGGGCTGAGGCTTTGTACAAGCCACACCCCTTTTCCAAGCCTCAGTT